TGGTGTTACCCAGTGTGTAGGCGCAGACCAGTTTCTGATTGGTGGAGACGTGCAGCCAGCGTGGAACCAGCGAGTTGCTGTCAGTGTGCAGGGGGAGCATCAACACTGTGACACACAGCACCGCCACAGCCACACACACCGCCCACTGAGACGCGCTGCGCACAGCTGCAGACGCAGACACACACACAGAAACATCATTAGTAAGATCAACTCACTCTGCACCCGCGAATGCACTGCTGCAGGAACCAATCAGAGCACTCCATGGTGCCTTACCTGTGCAGGCAGGCAGGTGTGCCTGTGTGGGCAGGAGCTGAGAAGTAGGATGGGGCAGCGCCCTTTGTTGACCTCCTCTTTGCTCCTCTTCCTCTTGTCCTCCTCTAAGCTCCGCCCAAATCTCCCGTCGTCCCACCTGGCCTCCGCCCCTCACCTCCATGCGGAACCGGTCCCTGCGGCCCCAGTGTCTGGGGGAGACGTCCAGGTGACGCACGACCCTGACAGGAAAACAAAATACTTGATTGCATGTGAGCGTCGTTATGGATTAAGTTTGAAACAAAGTTTGAAACACTCACAGGTCGACGCAGGACTTGGCCCGGATGCTGCCCTCTGCCTCCACCACCCTGTAGAATGAGGGCGCCGTGCACCACACTGTGAGGACAGAGAGAGAGGCTGTTAGAGCCAGTGGCGGCGTGACCAGGGCCTAAACATGGCTGCACTCACTCTTGAAGCTGAGGCTGAAGTTGTAGGGGTTGTAGAGGGTCAGCACCCTCCTATGGGAGCTCCTCTGCTCTGCGTAGAACACCATCTCTGAGGGGAACAGGAAGACGGCAAGACGTGGCACGCCCCCCACCGCCCCGCTCTGCTCCCCTGCCACCGCCGACCCCTCCTCGTCTCCTCGCCCGTCATGGCTCTGCCTCCTCCTCATTAGTCCGCTCTGTGTGGAGCCCCGCCCGCGGACATGATCGGAGAGCTGTCATTGGATACCTAGAGGTAACACCGCCTACCACCACAGCGAGACAAAAAAAAAATCATTTAACGAGGAGAAAAAAGGTTTCTCTTTCCTAGGTTGTGGCTCCTTGGTTCCTCCTCTGTCTCCTTATTTTGTACAATGCCTCCTTGTTACCTCTCCCTACTTTTTCCCCTCCTCCTCGTCCTTTCTGTGTCCTCATTTCCACCCTGCCCCCTTTATTTACCAACTCCTTTTTTCCTTCCTCATATCCCTCCTTCCTGCCTTTTCTCTGCCACCATGATTCTTACCCGATACCTTGCTGCCTTCTGTACGTCTTTCCTTCCTTCTGTTTCTTTGTTTACTTCTCTACCTCCTCTTATCCTTCTGTGCTTCTTCCCTTCCTTCTCTGTTTCCGTGTTTACTTCTCTAGTTCCTCGTTTCCTTCCCTAAACAAACAGGACCCAGCATGTAAACAGTGGAGAACAAACACAGGTAACGCCTCATAAATAAGTACCTCAGCTCCTGTGTATCCCTCCGCTGCCAGCCTGTAGTATAAATTGTTTATTTCTGGATCTCTGTGTAAAAAAACTCCGAAAAACTTCACTAACAGACTTTCTGTTAGTGAGCTTCCTGCTGTTTGCTAACGCTAGCTGCCCAATCACTCGCCAAAACACCGGTAACGTGACGCAGCAGAAACTGCCGCGATATGATCTCCGGCAGCCGGACGGTCACACCGAGGCGTTTTATGGGAGTTTAATCCGGTAAAAACAAAAAAGAAACAGAAATAAAACTGCTCAGTGTTTCTACTCACCGCTGCCCCGGATCTACTTCCTCAGCAAGCTGTTGCTTATAATAAATCCCTCCCCCTCTCTAGCTCTAAACCAATGAGCGTTCGGAAAGAGTCCCAGCCTTCTGTTGTTTTGTGTGTCACATCAGACTCCTTAGTTTGACGCTGTGTTTAATTCTGAAACTAAACAAGAAATCGTTTTGGATTTATAAAAGCCATAATATTCAATAAAATGGTACAACAATGGTTGCTACAATGTTTCAACCATGCTACAAGAAAATGCTTTCTTTCTTTGGCTCTCGGAGGAGGCGGACGCGTCTTTCACCGTCTCCGTCCCTTATCTTTCTGGGTTATCCTTTTGTGTTACACATTTCAGTTTTTTTCCTTTGCTACCTCCCTGACCTGTACGGTCGGCAAGGTCTGTCTTCTCGGTTGTGGGCAACTGCAACTGACAAATAAAGGCTATCATCTCATCTCATTACAATGGTACAACATTATAAGCAATAAATTATTTAACAAATAATTGTGGCTTTTAGTTTCCTTATTTTAAAGAAACTAAACATTTATATAACGTCCTATCAGTTATACACTTTTACATTTATGTTTTCTACATATTTATAGATATACTTAATTTAAATAACTAGCGTTGTAGCATCTGCGGCATTCAAGTTCTCTCGGAAATGAAAGACATAAGAATGCCATGCACGAATTTTTAGTTGAGTAGGGCCTCTTTATCAAAAGGCTCGTCATCGTTTCAAGTATCAGTCTGTATAAACATGTTTTTGGTCAAATGATGAGGAATTCATAATCAACTTCACGTGTGTAATTTATTGCATGCTAAATGCCAAAATGTTTAAAATAACATTTTTCTTTTTAATATAACATCAGTAAGTTAAAGACTACAGCCTTCTAAATATCTGATATACGCTGTACGTCATTAACTTCGCTGTATTAGTTGATTAGTAGAGTTCGGATGGAGGAGTTTAAAAGGAGACCATGAACGTTGCTCGTTCCTCGCCTCCTGATTGGTCCGTTGCTCTTCGTGTCTCGGGACGCGTCCGCTTTATAGAGTCACCTTGCTGCTCTTGCTGCCGCCGCTGCGACGGGGAGAAAGCAGGCGGAAAGCTCAGCTCAAAGGCACACAGGCAGGCGGCAGAAATCTGAACGCACTCTGCGGCCACTGACCGATCGGGGGAAACATGGCGGATGCGAAGCCCAAGACCTCCCCGAAGGCCATCAAGTTCCTGTTCGGGGGGCTGGCTGGGTAAGTGATGCGGCTAGCTGCCATGCTATCGCGCTAATGTCAGGGGTCAGAGGAGAGCTCTGGTCAGTTTAAACCCGCTCTGTGTCAAACCTCTGTGCGGTTTAAAGGACAGCACGGAGGCCGTTACTGCGGCGGAGCGACACGCTGATGGTTAGCTGTTAGCAGCTGATGCTGGCTGTCACAGGACGGGCTGCACCCCGAGAACTCCGAGGGGACGTTTTTCATCAGCACACCGGTGTCATGACGAAATCTGGGCACCTGTCTGCATGTGTTAGTTAGCCATGTTCGAGTAGAGCTTCCTGCCCCTTTTTTCTCTCCAGAACACATTTAAACATGCAAACTCGTAGAAGTCCTGCAAATGTTCCGCTTGTATCCCCGGGAAATTATTTTGTTAAAACCTCCCGCCTGGGCTTTACAACGAGGAGTGCTAGCAGGCTAACGCTGGATTGGCAGCGAAGCTTCCCTAAAGTAAACTCTGACAGCAGATAAGGGGAGGTCTCACCAGTCAGGGGGACCTGACGTCGGCTCCCCGGTCGTTAGCATGCTAACTGTTAGCCGGGATGGATGACAGCTTTATGACCATGATGATGATGATGATGATGATGACCATGATGATGATGATGATGATGATGATGATGTAACCTGGTTTAGCCTCTAAACTCTGAAATCAGGTTCAGTTAAACTGATCCATGTTTATCGCAAAACATTTGCAAATGTAATCATGTATCATAAAAGTTCATTAAGCCAATTAATAATTTGATGAATGAATTAAAATTATAATCTCAATAATTATCTCACACTGCGCCTCAGTGATTGGATGCCCCTCACTCAACAGGGTGCGTGACTGCCTCTGACATCATACTGATCCAAAAATAGAAAAAAATGATAAACTGAACAATTTGACCTTTTGGCTCACAGGGATTAGTGAACGTATGCTGACATGAAGGTTAACATGAGTGTATGAGAGGAAACATGGAGAACATTACTCACACACACACTTTAAGACGTGTGTGTGTG